TTTCTCTTTATCCCCTAGGTTCCTTGTACCCTTCCCTCCCCCCTCCCTTAAACTAACCCAATTTTTATCCATATTTCCCTTATTAAAGCCTGTTTCCTAATGTTCTTCTCTTTAAGGTTCTTTCTTTTCCTTTACCTCCCTGGTTCCTTTCCATTATCCTGGTTCCTGTATTTATGTCTGGATACATACTCGCTTATCAGGATTTGGTGCTAGGATCCATCCACATGTGAGGGAGAACATAAGCCATTTTTTTCTGAGTTTGTGTTACTTCACTTAGTGTAACAGTTTCTAGTTCCATCCATTTACCTGCAAATTTCATGATTTCATCTTTCTTTACTGCTGAATACAAGTCCATGGTATAAATGAACCACATTTTTATTATCCCCCTCATCAGTTGAGGGACATTTATGTTGCTTCCAACTCTTAGCTATTGTGAAAAGCTAAGAGGATACACAAGTGTCTCTGCAATAAGATGAACTCTCTGTTCAGCTCCTTAGCCCATCTTTTAATTGGGTTACTTGCTTTCTTGATTCTTTGGTTTTGGAGTTCATTATATATTCTGGATGTTAAACCTCTGTCAAATGTATTGCTGGTGAAAATTTTCTCCCACTTTGTGGGTTTTCTCTTCACTCTTTGGGCTGCTTCTTTTGATGTACAGAAGCTTTGAGTTCCCATTTGTTGATTCTTGACCTTGTTTCCTGAGCAATTGATGTCCAGTTTAGAAAATTCTTTCCTACACCTATATCTTGTAGATTATTGCCAATGTTTTCTTCTAACAGTTTCAGAGTTTCAGGCTTCACATTGAGGTCTTTGACCTATTTAGAGATGACTTTTGTGCAAGAAGAAAGATAGGGGTTTAGTTTCATTCCTCCACAGGTGGAGATCCAGTTTTGACAGCACCATTTGCTGAACATGCTGTCTTTCCTCCAGTGAATATTCTTGGCCCCTTTGTCAAATATCAGGTGGCTGAAATTGCATGTACTCATATTTGGGTCTTCAATTTTGTTCCATTGATCTATGCGTCTATTTTCACTCCAGTACCATGGTGTTTTTATGACTATATCTCTGTAATACAGTTTAAAATCTGGTATAGTAATCCCCCTAGCATTGCTCTTAGTGCTCAGGGTTGCTTTGGCTATCCAAGGTCTTTTGCGTTTCCGTATGAATCTTAGGATTTTTTTTTCTAACTCTGTGAAGAATGTCATGGACATTTTGATTGGCATTGCACTGAATCTATAAATGGTTTTTGGTAGGATGGTCATTTTCACAATATTAATTCTTCCAGTCCATGAGCATGGGAGGTCCTTCCATCTTCTGATGTCTTCCTCAGTCTCTTTCTTTAAAGATTTAAAATTTTCATCGTAGAGGTCTTTAATGTCTTTGGTCAAGTTTATTCTGAGCTTTTTT